ATGTGCCTTTCTTGAATTTTTGAATTATAAGTTTGGACCCAAATTCTGGGGGGAATCAATGCAAATATTCAATAAATTTATTGGATACTTGATATGAAGAGTTCTTGTGTTAAAATCCAGAAAGACTTACCCAAGTTGTCCTCACTTTGAAGTTACCTGTGCAAGATATCGGGGCAGAAATCCTGTGTGAGGGGACATGTCTGGGGGATGTGTGTAGAAACAAGACTCAGGGAATGATCAAGCTCAAATGTGTGTCCTCGGCTTTAGCAGCAGCCACAAGTTCTTACTGAGAACTCTGGGACTTGGGCTTTCCTCTGAGCTGCTCAGGGTAGTTGGGAGATGAGGAAATGGAAGGATACATTTGAGCCATCTGATGTGACTGCGCATTTCACAAGAGAGAACCAAGTCCAAAAGAAGTAAAAGACTTTCCCTAATGATCTCTACATTTTCTTTTCTCAAGATTTATTTATTTTAAAGGCAGAGTTACAGATAAAGAGAGGGAAAGAGAGAGAGACAAAAAGATTTTTTTTTCCATCTGCTGGTTCATTCCCCAAATGACTGCAATGGCCAGGGCTAGGCCAGGTCACAGCCAGGAGCCTGGAACTCCATCTGGGTCTCCCACATGAATGACAGGGGCTCAAGCACTAGTGCCGTCTCCCCCTGCTTTCCCAGGTACATTAGCAGGGAGCTGGATTGGAAGTGGAACAGCCAAGACTTGAACCAGTACTCATGGGATGCTGGCATTGCAGGTGGCAGCTTAATCCACTGCACTACAACACTCGGCCCAGTGACCTCTACATTTTTTGCTCGAGTACATTTTTGGTCAGCAAGAGGCCTGGATTTCCTACAGCCAACTTATATTTGATCAAGGATCTAAAGCAAATTCCTGGAGCAAGGACAGTCTATTCAACACATGGTGCTGGGAAAATTGGATTTTCACATGCAAAGCATGACGCAAGACCCCTACCTTACACCTTACACAAAAATCCACTCAACATGGATTAAAGATCTAAATCTACTACCTGACATGATCAAATTATTAGAGAACATTAGAGAAACCCTGCAAGATACAGGCACAGGCAAAGACTTCTTGGAAAGGACCCCAGAGGCACAGGCAGTCAAAGCCAAAATTAACAACTGGGGTTACATCAAATTGAGAAGTTTCTCTAATGCAAAAGAAACAGGAAAGTGAAGAGGCAATCGACAGAATGAGGCAAAATATTTGCAAACTATGCAACCGAAAAAGATTAATAACTAGAATCTACAAAGAGATCAAGAAACTCCACAACAACAAAACAATCCACTTAAGAGATGGGCCAAGGTCCTAAATAGACATTTTTCCAAAGAGGAAATCCAAACGGCTAATAGACACATGAAAAAATGTTCAGGATAACTAGCCATCAGGGAAATGCAAATCAAAACCACAATGAGGTTTCACCTCACCCCAGTTAGAATGGCTTACATACAGAAATCTACCAACAACAGATGCTGGCGAGGATGTGGGGGAAAAAGGGACACTAACCCACTGCTGGTGGGAATGCAAACTGGTCAAGCCACTATGGAAGTCAGTTTGGAGATTCCTCAGAAACCTGAATATAGCCCTATCACAAGACCCAGCCATCCCACTCCTTGGAATTTATCCAAAGGAAATGAAATTGGCAAACAAACAAGCTGTCTGCACCTCAATGTTTATTGTAGCTCAGTTCACAATAGCTAAAACCTAGAATCAACCTTAATGCCCACCAATAGAAGACTGGATAAAGAAATTATGGGACATGTACTCTATAGAATACTACACAGCAGTAAAAAAAGAAAAAAAAAGAAAAAAAAAGAGAAAGAAATCCGGTCATTTGCAACAACATGGAGGAATCTGGAACATCATGCTGAGTGAAATAAGCCAGTCCCAAAGGGACAGATATCATATGTTCTCCCTGATCGGTGACAACTAACTGAGCACCTAAAAGGAAACCTGTTGAAGTGAAACAGACACTATGAGAAACAATGACTTGATCAGGCCTTGTCTTGACTATCGAGGAACAACTTACTATTTTATTCCTTTTAGTATTCTTTTGTTCTACTTAATACTATTAGTTGAACTCTTTAATTAAAACAATTATTCTTAGGTGTTTAAATTTAACTGAAAAGTGATTGCTGTTAAATATAAGAGTGGGAATAAGAGAAAAGGGAGATGTACAGTTCGGGACATGCTCACTATCCCTAGTGGTAGAGTTAGAAACGTGCCAGGGGATTCCAATTCAATCCTATCAAGGTGGCATGTACCAATGCCATCTCACTAGTCAAAGTGATTAGTTTAAGTTCATAATTGATCATAAAGATAGGATTAAGTGTCAAAGGGATCACATAAACAATACTAGTGTCTGTTAATACTAAATGATAGAATTAAAAAGGAGAGAATAATCCAACATGGGAAGCGGGATACACAGCAGACTCATAGAATGGCAGATGTCCTAAACAGCACCCTGGCCTCAGAATCAGCCCTTAAGGCATTCAGATCTGGCTAAAAAGCCCATGGGAGTTTCTCAGGCATGGAAAGCCAAGACACTCTGGCAAAAAAATGACCTAAATGAAAGATCTCTGTGAGTGAGATCCCAGTGGAAAGTACAGGCCATCAAAGAAGGAGGTACCTTTCTCTGAAGGGAGGAGAGAACTTCCATTTTGACTATGGCCTTGTCTAAATAAGATTGGTTTCTGTGAACTCAAGAGGCTTCCATAGTCTTGGCAGCTCATGACAAGAGCCTCGGGTGATTCCTGATGTCATAAATAAGAGTGTCAATTGTTAAATCAACTACAGGAGTCACTGTGCACCTACTCCCCATGTAGGATCTGTGTCCTTAATATGTTGTACTATGCAAATTAATGGTAAAACTACCACTCAAACAGTACTCTATACTTTGTGTGTCTGTGTGGGTGCAGTCTGTTGAAATCTTTACTTAATTATATACTAAGTTGATCTTCTGTATATAAAGATAATTGAAAATGAATCTTGATGAAGAATGGGAATGGAGAGGGAGTGGGAGATGGGATGGTTGCGGGTGGGAGGGAGGTTATGGGGGGAAAAGCCACTATAATCCAAAAGTTGTACTTTGGAAATTTATTAAATAAAAGTTGAAAAAAAAGATATATTAGGTTGCAATAAAAAAAAATGAAGAGGCCTGGCCGGCACCACGGCTTACTAGGCTAATCCTCCGCCTACGGTGCTGGCACCCCGGGTTCTAGTCCTGGTCGGGGCGCCGGATTCTGTCCCAGTTGCCCCTCTTCCAGTCCAGCTCTCTGCTGTGGCCCGGGAAGGCAGTGGAGGATGGCCGGAGTCCTTGGGCCCTGCACCCGCATGGGAGACCAGGAGAAGCACCTGGCTCTTGGCTTTGGATCAGCGCAGTGCGCTGGCCACAGCAGCCATTGGAGGGTGAACCAATGGAAAAGGAAGACCTTTCTCTCTCTCTCTCTCACCCACTATGCTTGTCAAAAAAAAAAAAAAAAAAAAAAAAAAAAAAAAAAAAAAGAGAGAGAGAGAGAGAGAGAGGGAGAGAGGGAGGGAGGGAGGGAGGGAGGCCTGGATTTAAAAACACTTGGAGGTTGGCCTCATTCAGAGCCACAGACTCAAGACTGAGTTTCAGAAAGGCCTCTCTGAGAGTCCTCAGGGCCTCCCAAGGATAGTTCATGTGCCTTTTTGTCCACCCCCAGGTAAATGCTCTGGTTGTGATGCCAGCTCAGCTCTGTGGCTGTAAACTTAACACCAAAGGATGTGGCTGGGGTTACCATGCTGGTGCTCTCAAAGTAAGTGTTAAATGCTGAGAACAATGCCCTTCTTTGTCTCCTCCCATGATGCAGTGTGCTGGACCCACAGCATGGCCATCCATGAGAGCCTTGCCCATGACTTACTCCTTGCCCTCTCAAATCTGCAGTGGCGTCAGAATAAAGGCAGTGAATTCAGTTCAGAACACAGCCTTCACCCCATAAGAATTCTGAGCATAGAAATTTTGACTGCTGTTGGAAAACAGGCACAAAAAAGTGGGCAAGCACAGGCTGACAGGCAGGCGGAGCTGCACTTCAGAGCTGAAGATTGATGAGATCAATTTTGAAGCCTTTCTGCTTTCATCTTCTGGGTTATAGATGTCAGCCCCCCCCCCCCCCGCCCTTTGCCTCTAAGCCTCATGTTTCAAACTACATCCTTCCACAGTTATCACAGCATCGTTTTATATAACCCACGGAATTCAAGTCTCTTATGATAAAGCAGCGTTTTAGAACTTGTGGTCTGCTACAGATCTAATGCAATTCGGTTGATTCATCAGGGAATAAAACTTTAAAAGGCAGCTAGACTCAAAGTTAATACAAATGCTTAAAGAACCAGCAGTCTGATTTTTATATTTTAGTTTTGAAACGTATCAGTAAGGCACTACATTTATCAAATAAATATTAAAAAGACTTGTCAATTTTATATTATTAGATTTATCAATAAACATGTGATGTATGTTGCCGTATCAATAAGTCTTCTAGAGAGGAGAACCCAAATGGTCCAGCTAATGGAGCCGTTAGGAGCCCCCACTGTCTGACTTAGGATTTGGCACAAAAATATCTGTTGGATAAGGGGATAGACATATGACAAGACAGAACAGCACAAGCATTTTCTAATCAACTGTGGCTGTAGACTTAACACCAAGGGGTGTGGCTGGGGTTACCATGCCTGTGCCCTCGAAATAAATGTTAAATGCTGAGAACAATGCCTTTCTTTGTCTCCTCCCATGATGCAGTGTGATGGACCCACGGCATGGCCATCACACTGATCATGATCATAAAGTCATTTCCCACTTGAAATAACCAAGGAGGCTATTTTGAAGCCTTGCTGAAATATTTCATCTGATAAATACGATCTGACTTTATCCAAATTAGTCTTTTAAAGCTTCGTCCTTCTGTTGCACTGTCGTAAAAGCAAGCATCAGGAGAACAGTCAGGAACACACCTTCTACCGTCTACACCCTCACCTGCCATGTCGATGGCGAAAGGCCTGTCTGCCCTCCAGCCGGTGTACCAACCAACGACTTTGCCGTTTTCCACCAATGGACGTTCATAGCGTCGTCCGCCAACCAGGCCCACTGGCCACACAGAGACCTTGCGAGTTGTCCGCATCTGTAACAGGGAAAGAGATGAGTTAAGTTTCCTTAGGGGGAAAAAAAAGGTGGAGGGAGCGAATGTGCTCCACATAAAAGAAATAGGAGGGCACAGTATATATTTCAAAGGTTGAAGGTTTCCAAAGAGAATCTTTCTGTCAATAACTTCCACCCAAATTCATCACTGTTGGGCTACCCAGTGCCATCAGCTCTGTACTTGGTATAAATTCAGCTGGTGACTCAACGCTTAAGAGAAATAAGATGACTATCACTTATTTGAAGGTCAGTTGTGACTATCGAATGTTTTCTATTTGTGTTAAAGTTGACTCTTCTAAACCATGATTCATCTCTTTGGAAGTGAGAAGGTTTAATTCCCATTTAGGAATTTCATGATTCAAGGAGAGCAAAAACTCGGTCACAGGAGCCACAGAGTGTCCTTTGTCCAAATTTTTTATTGCAACAGAGACACAGAAATCTAGGCTGGGAACATTCATAATGGAATCCAAACACAGTACAGACACCAGGCATCCCCCAAAGGGAGAAAAAAAAAACCACATGCATCTTAACAGTTCCAACAGAGTGAACTGGAGAGGACGATGCATCACACAGGCAGCAGGAGTAGCTGCTCCTCTTGCTGCACACACTGCTAGACACAGCAGAATTTGGTTAAATACAAACCTCAACTGAATACTTGCTGGCTTTCTTTGAGGGGAAACACACTCACAAGAAGTTTGCTGACTCCAGGCAATAATGTTGCAGAAAATGGTTACCATCTTTCCTGAAGGCATGTGAAGAAGACTCTGTCCCTTTCTCAGACAAACATACCCCATGCTAGAGCCCATAGATTGGAACAAGCTAGATTTAAGATCCACTCACTTTTATGGCTTAACGTCCCTTGGACAGCCCATAACCTACATGGCTGAATGAAGTGGCCCTCAGTGTTTAACTTTTATTGCTATAAAACTGAAGGGGGTTGGGGGGGGGGTGGTTGACACAGCAGTTAAGATACCCATATCAGAGTGCCTGCTGAACTCTCAATTCCAGATTCCTGCTGGTGTGCACCCTGGGAGGCAGCAGGTGATGGCTCAAATACTTGGTTTCCTGCCACGCATGTGTGTGACCAAGACTGAGTTCCAAGTTCCTAAGCTTCACCTGGCTTGGCCCCAGCTGTTTTGGGTGTATGGGAGTGAATCCGTGCATGGAAGATCCCTGTCTCTGTCATCACTACAAGAAAGATAATTGACATATCCAGCACCTCCAAAAGTATTCTTTCTCCCTTTTACACCCATCCCTCCAGTCCTCCTTCATATCCCGCAATCCCTAGGAAATCACAGATTGGTTTGAATTTTCTAGAATTGTATATGAATGTAATCATTCACCATGGGGTTGAGGGTGGGAGACGGAGTATGGCTTCCGCCACTCAGCGTAATGACACATTCAACCACTGTAATATGTATCAGTAGGTCATTTCTCTCTTTTTTTCTTAGACTTTAAAAAAAAGCTTTGAGGACAGCAAGAGACAGAATACTCCCATTCTGACTCATTCCACAAAAGCCTGCAATGGCCAGTAGTAGGCCAGGCTAAAGTCAGGAGCTGGAAACTCAATCCAGGTCTCCCAAGTAGGTGCCAGGGACCCAACTAAACAAGCCATCACTGCTGGCTGCCTCACAGAATACACTTTATCAGGAAGCTGGAGTGAGGAGGCAGAGGCGGGTATCAAACTCAGGTACTCTGAGATGGGATGCAGGCATCGTAACTGCTAGGCCAAACACCTGCTGAATGGTATTCTATTGTGTGGATACACTGCAGTTTGTTTTTTCTCCTACTGATGGACATATGGGCTGCTTCAAGCTTGTATGATTATTTGTGTGCAGTTCTGTGGATTTCATTTTTTAAAAAAATAACTAGGAGTAAAATGACTACATCATTTAGGGGATGGTCATTTAACTTCTTGCAAATGTTTATTTTCATCAACTTGAAAGGCACAGTGAGTGAGAGACAAAGACTGACTGACAGATACAGACACACTTCAAATGGCCAAAGCAGCTGGATCTGGGCAAGACTGAAGCCAGGATCCAGGAACTCCACCCTGATCTCCCACATGGTGGCAGAGGTCCAGACACCTGGGCCATTTCCCACTGCCTTCCAGGCACATTAGCAGGAAGCTGGATTGAAAGCAGAGCAGCCAGGACTCAAATCCATGCAGCGATACAGGCTGTGGAAAACAGTGGCTTAACCTGTTGCACCACAATGCCAGCTCCCCATTTAGCTTTCACAGAAACTGCCAGATTGTTTTCTGAAGTCATTGTGGCATTTTAATTACTCTTACCACTGTCTGACAATTTCAGTTCCTCTACATTTTCACCATCATTTGGCATTGTCAGTCCTCCAATTTTAACAATTCTTTATTATTATTTTTTAAGAGAGAGAGCGAGTGAGTGAGAAATTTCATCTTCTGGTTCATTTCCCAAATGGACTCAATGGCCAGGACTGGTCCAGGCCAAAATCAGGATCCAGGAACTCCACCCTTGTCTCCCACATCGGTGGCAGAGGCCCAAGTACTTGGGCCATCTTCCTCTGCCTTTCCAGGCACATTAGCCGGGAGGTGGATCAGAAGTGGAGCAGCCAGGACTCAAACCAGCACTCCAGTTTCAGATGCTGGCATCCCAGGCAGTGGCTTAACCCCTGTACCACTGTGTCCCCTTCCAATTATAGCAACTCTAATAGGTGGTGTCTCATGATGTTAATTTCTATTTTTCTAGTGATTAATGAAGTTGAACATCTTCATATTCTTACTGCCAACTGTATCTCTGGTAAATGTTTGCTGGGATCTCCTGTCTACTTTTCAAATTGGCTGTTTTTGTACTATTGAGTTTTGAGAGTTATATATTCTGCATTCAAATAGTTTATCAAATAAATGACTTTAATATTTTCTCCCAGTCTGTGGCTCACCTTTTCATTCTCATAACAGTGTCTTCTGAAGAACAGAAGTCTTTAATATTGATAAAGACCAATTTAGCAATCTGCTCCTTTATGTCATATTTTTGGCGTTGTAACTAAAATATTTTTGCCTAATCCAAAGTCACAAGGACTTTCTCCTACTTTCTGGGAGTACTGTAGTTCTAATACTGTGTTCTATTATAAATTTAAATGATGATCCATTTTCATATATGAGATGATTGCTGAGTAAAGGATTTTTACTCTTTGTATATGGATATCCAATTATTTCAACTTCCTCTAATTCTCTCGGAAAACTGAACTGCTTTTGCACCCTTGTCACAAATCAGTTGTGCATATCTGAGGGTGTATATGGGTTTATTTCTGGATGTCCATTGGTTTATTTGGTGATATTCATCCCACTACCACACTGTCTTGATTTACCATTTATGAAATGAAAGTACTTCAAAAATTTGTGGGAAACGGAATTAAAAGCTAAGTATTGGTGCAAAAATTTAAATTTATACATAGTTTTTCATGACATGTATATTCTACCAACTTTAAAAAAGTAACTATTTATTTACTTGAAAGGCAGAGTTAGAGAGAGAAGCAGAGACCAACAGAGAGGTGTTCCATCTGCTGGTTGACTCCCCAAATGGCTGCAAAGGCCAGGGCTAGCCCAGGTGAAAGCTGGAGCCTCTTCTAGGCTTCCCAAGGACTTGGGCCATTCTCTGCTGCTTCCCAGACACATTAGCAGAGAGCTGGGTTTGAAGTGAGCATCCGGGACTTGAACCGGCTTCCATGTGGATGCCGGCACTGCAGATGGCAGCTTAAACCTCTAAGCCACAGTGCCAGCTCCTCTACCAACTTTTCTAAGGTCCCTTGTATGATGGTGTTTAAAAATTTTCGCAACAAAATAAACTTCTCTTTTAATTCCATTTTCATCAACTGTTGAAGTACCCTTGTAATTCTGGGAATCAGGTAGTGTTAGTCTTCCAACTTTTCCCCTCATTTTCAAAGCTGTTTTTACTTTTGTGGGTCCTTTTCATTTCCAAATGAAATAGAGTCAGTTTAAAGCAAATATCCAATGAGACACATTGAATCTACATATTAATTTGGTGAGAATGCCACTTTACCAAGAGCAAGTCTTGTAACCTAACAACAGGACTTCTCTCTTCTTTCACTTAGGTCTTTACTTTCTCTCAGCATCATCTCTCAGGTGATTTCATTCTTGAATTCATATTAACATTTAAATCCTAGATTTTTCTCTATAGGTAGGACAAAAATCCAGGAAACTTACTAAGCACCTCTTCCCAACTCACTCCACCTTCAGGTTCCTATTCCCAACCTTGATGCAGAAAATAAAAACATTTCAATTTTTTATCTTATATATAAAACATGCCAAATGCCAAGAAACTTGTTACATCTAATACATGCTTTTTAAGTGAACAGAATGGCTTCATAGCTGTAAGGCACTAAAAATAGCATTATTGTTTTTGAAGGCATTTTCATAAAATGGCTATGATTTTTCAGTTGCTAAAATGGTTTTGACCGGGACACTAAATTTTCACATCTTGAAAAACTGATGAGCAGAACCCATCTCCGGCATCTATACCCTCTTGCAATTATATAATACTGTGCCCTGCATACAGCAGGTGCCAAATAACTCTAACGAAGTATTGAAGCACCAGGTGGAATTTAAAGGTGGGCCCACCTGTGACAATCAATCAGCTTGTACCTGAGCCTTGCACGAGAAGTTCTAATCAAAATGGGAAACAGACAATAACAGAATCACAAATAAAAACATTTTTAAAGGAGATGGAGCGAAATTGCTGCTAAAGAGAACAACTGTGGGACTACCATGAAGGGAACGATTAATTTGGCCGTAGTAATTAAGCAAATTTTATGGCCAATTTTTCACTGGAGGTACACCATGAGAGATATGTAGGCTTTTGCCCACAGAATATAGAATCACCTAGGGTTCTAGGTAATGAGAGGCAGCAAAACCTCACATTTCTATGCCAGTTTCATGCTAGAAAATGTAGGCTTTGCTTAGCATACTCTGAATTTTGGAGCACAGCT